CAAGTCCTAAACCCAACAGGAAGTCCGCCATTTTGAAAAGACACAGTAACAATTTTGGTGATTCTGGGTGACTTTTGGCCATTTTTGGCCATTTTCAAAATTTATCTCCTCCAATGGGCATTTCCACCACGGCCAACACGCACGCCGCCGCAGCTCGCCACTAAACAGGAAGTGGCTCGTAACTAGGCCGCACGTGCTCCAATCTGCCTGAAAGTCGACATGCCGGATCGGAGTCCAGCCGGGAACCCGTTTGCGCCACAACCCGACGTGCGCAAAGGCCGACAAGCGTAGGTGCGAGGACCCGTCAAATGCCGCTTGCGGCTTTAATTGTATTTGAAACCTTGATTTATCATGAAAAACAAACTATTGCAAGCTGGTGCCATCGCTCTTTGAAATAAATAATATTTGATTTGACATTATGTAAATTCAGTCTAAACTATCTCATGGCCTTTTTGCCTTTATTAGATAGGACAGCTGAAGGAGAGACAGGAAAGTGGGAGAGGAGAATGAGGGAATGGGTTGCAGCAAAGGGCCATGAGCAGGATTCGAACCCATGACCGCTGCATCAGAGACTACTGCCCCTGTACATGGGTCTCCAGCTCAACCAGGTGAGCTGAAGTGGCGGCCCGGAAGTTGCACATTTTGTTGTTGTGCAGTCCTGTTAAATAAATGCACGAAAAACTGCAGTTGGAATCATAGAAAGACGCGTCAACGGTTAGGTGAGAGCAAAGCAGATTACCTTTGCATAGGTGAGAAAACTCACTCTACAGAACAGCTCAAAACAGAGTGAACTCGGTCAAAGAAAGATCAGTACAGTCAGCTTCAGCCGGAGTCGGGAGTCTGCAGCTCATGGGCAGAAAATAAATGAATACTGATCAGAGGTTCTGAGGCTTTTTACTGTACGTCTGGGGATGAGAACTTCCAGCACTCGCTAACCAAAGCCCTGTATGTTACAGTATAGCAAGAGATCAGTCCACGCTCCTCTAGTGTGAGAAAATGTGAGAACATACGCAGTGACCTCCATTAGAATTCATTATTTAGTAGCTTACTTTCATTAGGAAATTGAAAATAGAAACGTCACTCTTAAACAACACTCAAACATAAAAATACACATGAAGACGAGTGGCCCGTGTAATCCATTATCCCTCATGCTCCTCAACACATGTATTCACTGTGTGAGAGCCCATATGGATAGAGGAGATGGATCTAAATTATAACTGCTTTTTTTTCTCCAGCCCACCTCGTATCAGGGGGATACTAATCCTTAGCAGTATTATCGATTCAGCTGCTGGAGCTCATTATTGACTCATGAAGGGTTCACATGGGTAGGAGTAACAGAGAGATAAAAACGCTGTGACTCAAACTTCTGCAACACCGATTGACTTAACTCATGCAGAGGTCACCCCTTAATTAATTACAGTTTTATTGATTTACCATGTTGTGTATCTTTTATCATGCAAACGGAGAAAATAGCTCTGAGCTGCGGCAAAAAAAGTGACACCTAAGGGTTAGATCTTAATAAGCTAAACCACATGACTCCAGCTTGCCAAGTGTTGCCGAGGCAAGTCAATGTAGCTGCGTGAGTTTTGCTAGCCAGCTATTGACTGAGATGAAGACAGAGGACAGAGAAGACGTCTGACTCTCAGAAATACTGTAGCACGTTGCAGGGGGCCTAATTCTTATTGATTGCTATTGACTGGGGGAGAAGGCTGGGATGGATGCACGGGACAAAATACACGACACAAACTGTGCCTTTTATCCCAGCTCTTGCAGAAGCTTTAAACGCCTGGTTCACTCAAATTATTAAAGAAAAATATTTTCTCATTAACCCCAGTGGTGTCCAGTGCTTTTGGGTTTTATTTTTTTTTCCTGGCTTCAAAAATCACCTTTGGTTCAGTGAATGGAATCGTAGCGCTCACACAGCATCAAAAAAACATATTTATCAGAATCAAAAGCAGTGTTTCCTGTTCTCTATCAACAGATGGAACAGAAAAATCTTCTCTCTCATGTCTCACAGAGAGAGCTCTACCTCGCTCATGTACAGGGTTTAGGAGTAAAGGATTATAGTACAAGTAACAGGATTACAGTAATCCCAAAAATAGCCACTAATCTGTTAGTTACTGTGGAAACTCTTTGCATATGCTTTCAAAAGCTCGTCGTCGGCTCTATAAAATGCCATGAAGTAAAAAAAAGTAATCAGTTGGACATACAACAGTCCAAATTAGTATCACAGGCTTTAGAATAATGGGTGTTAAGAGCTTTACATTTGGGTAACAGTGCTGATTCTAAGGTGATTAACAATGCAAATTCTACGACTTACTGTATAGATTATAATGCTAAGTAGGTAATAATTAATGTGTCAGATATTCCGCTTTAATCTACTTTAACTTAATTCTAATTCTGGTGTTAGTACATGAATTGTGGCACCAACTGACCTCTGCTGCATGAATCACCCAGAGAAGGTGTACGTGGATACACTATAAATAATAATGATTCATCCCTTTCTGCACATCCTAAGCCCGTGTCACGCTGTGAAAGTCTCCCCACGCAACCATACAAACAGGTGCGAGAAGCCATCGCCCAGGAGAAGGACAGAGAAGTACTTACAAAGGGAAACAAAGAAACAAAAAGAACATAGAGGGAGATGCAGAGATGAAGAGGAAAATGGGGACAACGGGGAACAACAGAAGCCACTGAGAAGGGAAAAAAAAAAAAAAAAAAAGGGCAGAAAAAGAGATAAAACTTACCTCAAGCTGTCTTTCCTGTGCACAGTCACATACATCTCATACACCCTGCCCTGAGGAACAGCACCCGCTGGAACCAACAAACTCACACCTGCAGGAGGGAGGACAGCAGAAGCAAAATGGATGGAGGCAGACATAATGAGTTTCATCACTGGATTTATTAATTTCACCGTGCACAGCTGAATTATTGAACGTGCAACCCATTATCACTTTATCATGATGATTAATTATTGAATTATCATTTTTAAAGGCAACCCATGTAAAACCGTCTCTTAAACACATCGTCAAGTGAACTGTGCTGCAATGTTTTACAGCTTTTGAGAGCCGCTTCCTATCAGCGGGTTACATTATTCATTGTTTTCGCCTGCCCACTGCTTTTAAATCCTGACGTCTTCGGGAAGTTTTCTTTTGCTTTTAAATCGTGGTGGCGAGAGAACATTCGAAGGATGCTTGTGCAGCATTGTTGACTGCAGCAGTAGCTAGATACTTATTGAATAGATCATTTATATAAATCAATTTAATTGTATTTGTATAGAGCAGTTTACAACATATGTCACCACATAGCGCTTAACAAAGTAAGGTATAGACCTTACAAATTAAAACAGAGAACACAACAATCCCAAGCAGCCTTTAGACTTTCTCTGAACAAGCAGTTGGCAACAGTGGGAAGGAACTAAACTAGGAGAGGAAATGCATTTGATTGAATATTTTTAGCTTGACAGCCTTGCCTTTGATGTCATTCTTACTATTACAGTTACTTTATTTGTTGATTTAATCACCATAACATGGATCTTTTTCATGTCAGTTTTTTAAAATCACTATATTAGAAGCTATTAGAAATCTCCCAGGTTGCTGCATCAACAAGTCATGCATAAGATTAGCTGTTAAGTGCTTGAGAGGAGAGTTACCAGAGTTGGGCACAATGAGGTGTCCTCCCTGGCTGTTGAAGGATCCGTGAGCAGTGCAGGAAGGATCTCGCGTTCGGGCCAGGCTCTGGTTGCGAAAGTTCATGGTGTCACTGTTATCCAACAGAGACTGAGTTACCTAGAAATCCCAGGAGCACAGTGAGAACAATAATTAGAGAATAAGTACAGTAATAATAGGACGACACAGGCTCTTCCAGACGGTACTGGGTGTGACAGCGCTGGTTCAAAATGAATGTTATTGCACCTCAAACAATGGTAAAAATCCTTGGGGCTGTAATAATAAATTTACAGCAATGATGCAATAAAGATCAGTGTACGCATCAGTGTGCAAAATTATCTTTTTTTTTTTTGTATTAGACCTACAATGTGGGCAGGCATTACCAAGGATGGATGAAGTGAGCATATGCAGAAAATCCACGAGGTGAAATGTGTTAATAAAGCATAAAGTTCATGGAGGTTCAGAAAAGTTTCCCCGTGTCCCTTTTGTGTGTGTTTTCTATCCATTAACTAAAATGCTACAGGGAAGATCTGCATCTGCCTGCAAGCGCTGCAACAGGCTGTCTGTAAAGAGAGCCCGGCTTTAAAATAGACCTATAACCACCTTAGGGTAATTGGTAAAACACAACCTGCTTTGCATTTTTCCATCGAAATGTCCGCTGTGAGATGTAAAATAAGGACTTAACATTCACCAGTACACACAAAGCTGACGAGAACTTGCTTCGGCGTGTTGGAGACAGACACCAGACTAAAAACTATAAACTAGCCAGGAAAGGTCAGTCATGTGACACAGTAGAGATTCAAAAGGTGAACAATTAAAAAAAAAACACACCCGCAATAACTGATAAAATCATCAAAAGGTGCCACTGATCTGTGGAGCTCAAAGATGGTGAGCTCAGCTCTCGTACTGCCTCAGGACAGGTGCTGTGATGAAGCTGAACGGTTTCATCTGTATTTGTGACAACTGACTCGAGTATGCATGCCATGTGGTTGACAGAGCAGAGGGAGGAAACTGGGGCACGGAGCTGCATGTATACTAATGGTGTTTGGTTTTGTCTTTATGTGACTGGGAATACATAGCTGCCCTGTTTTAGCATCCCCCCACTCTTTCAGCGTAAATCCACACAGGAAGAAAAACACTTCTGTTCTTTACAGCAGGAGAAGATGAAAGACGCTGGCATGTTAGGCACAAAGCATTACCTTAGGAGAAAGTTTGGATGTGAAGTCTCCTCCGAGGTCATCCTGTGGTGTGACCAGCCCAGAGGAGTTGTAGACTTTGATCTTCAAGTTGGGAAGAGGATCCAAGAGAGGGGAGTTGGTCATTGGAATCTTATCCGACACGTCGTGAAGGGCGTACACTGGACCGCGATACATGGCAGCTGCATTCGTCAAGTCAGGGGGGGCTGTCAGGAGATCAGCTAAAGGTGAAACACAAAGAGGGAAAGAAATTGATGAGCGGACGTACGACATGAAAGCAGACGGGGTCAGAGAAAACTGTGTCTGACGGAGGAAAAATGAAAGCTAAATACGCCACACACTCAGCATTGTAAAGAGTAACGCATGGCTGCAGAGTGGGACAGGTGAGTTAAACTTGTAGCGAGATCAGTGAGCAGGAAGAAGGGGAGTGGGACGAGGACAGGCATGGCTGTTGATAAGGTATCAGTGTCGGCCATGATACATCGCTGTACACAGGGGCACGACCTGCATGAAGGACTAGTCATAGCTGCTGCACACAGAGGAAAAAAGAGAGAAGGTGAGAGAGAGACAGCTAGAAAACAGGCTGAGAGAAAGAGTGTGTGGATTCTGAGGGCTAGACTTGCATCTCAAAACCTGCCTATTCAGAACTTTCATGTTGCCGGACGTAGAAGGTCTTTCAGGGCCCATTGGATCCCAAGAAAGGGTATGTTCAAAATATGTGTTGGTATTCATTATAGACTTTTATATTATGTTAAATCAATTTTCTGATAAGTTGACGTATTTCAAAAATGGGCTGCAACATGGCGCAGTGGTTAGCATCGTCGCCTCACTGCAAGAAGGTCGTCGGTTCGTGTCCCGGTGAGGACGTCCGGGATCTTTCTGCGTGGAGTTTGCATGTTCTCCCCGTGCAGCGTGGGTTCTCTCCGGGTTCTCCGGCTTCCTCCCACACAGTCCAAAAATATGTTGTTGGTTAATTGGTGATTCTAAATTGTCCGTAGGTGTGAATGTGAGTGTGCTTGGTTGTCTGTCTCTAAGTGTGGCCCTGTGATAGACTGGTGACCTGTCCAGGGTGTCCTTCACCCAAAGTCAGAAGGATTAAGCAATGTATAGATAATGGATGGATGGATGGAATCTTCAAAAAAAAAAATTAAAAAAACAATACCTGTCAATTAAACCAAATGGCCTGGGGTCCAAAAGACCCCAAAAGTCCTGAATAAGGTTAAGTTTAATCATTGAATCTCACAGATTCCAGATTTGCCATTACTCTTTTTATTAGGTACAGCAGCACAGCAGCTGCGTATCACACAATTACCCACAAAAACGGGTGTCATACTTAATCAAGTCACAGCATATTTTTGAAATTCCCACATTAGTATTATTATTATTCTGAGTTAGGAAACCTGCTGTGCACAAAAAAACACGGCTGTGCTCACAGATGCGGACCGTCGTTAATACAGATCTAATTTAAGTTCTGTTAATTGGAAGTTATCTCGTCATACTGCGTGTATAGCTGCATGTTCATCACACTACATGTAAAATCGTGATATATGAATATGGTCAACGGTCACTTATATAGAGCTTTTATCCAAAGTGCTTTACAATGTGTTTCTCATTGACCCATTCACACACACACCAATGGCGACAGAGCTGCCATGCAAGGTGCTGCCTGCCATCGGGAGCAACTTCAGGTTCAGTGTCTTGCCCAAGGACACTTCGACTGCGGAGGGGCGGGGGATCGAACCACCAACCTCGCGATAGGAGGACAACCTGCTCTACCACCTGAGCCACAGCAGCCCTTAAAATATATGGATGATATATATGAATTTATTTGAAAGCGAGGGAATATACGATGTAAAATATTGAAGCCAATCTTCAAATCAGCTGCAAACAAATCTGACCCATGTAAGAATTTACATTTTTAATGATATTATTAAAAGCTTAAAGCAAGACTACATTACATTTGTCATAGTTTTCAGAAATTCTTGTCTTTGTCAGTAACCGTCATAAACTACTGGTCATACATTTCTTTTTGTAAGACTACGAATGTCTGTTTTTTTTTCTCAAGTTATGGTGTATAGTCTTCCTTTAATAAGGTAGGTTCAAGGTTCAAGGTCTTTATTGATCACAAACAGTCAAACACGGTATAACGTGCAGTGAAATGCTTTTGCGTACCTGAAACAATATTAAGATGAATAAAAACAAGAATAAAAATACAAGAAATAAATACATATACGAATATATATAGGGAGAGGGTAATGGCTCATCTTCTTTGTTAAAATAAAACTGTCTTTAACACTTGGTCAGATATTATTTAAGTTGTTTTTAAAACTGTTACCAGCTGTTTTATTCTGCTCTGTCTTAAGTTGTCACAGCTGCTGTCTGCTAACACTGGAATCTCAACACCATTCATGTGTTCAAGCGCTCCACTTACATACACGCACTTATAAACACTGTCATAAATAAATACACATCTGCAATGTCAAATATTGGTCCTACAAAAGCACTCAAACATGCAAATATGTGCCTTCCATAGCAACAGCATGCACACTATAGCCTACATGCTGATCCACAAACACACCTGCCACATTCAGACGCCCTATACGGGGCTCGTGTGATGTCAGGGGGGATGAATGGGTAAATCTCTCTGAGAATCCCTTCTGTGCTCATCACGGAAAGGTTAATTCAAACCAGGGGGCAGGAACAGGTGAATGTTCTTCAGCTCAGTGTGATAATCCATGTACATGTACCACTCCTGTTCTGTGTTGACGGCATGTTGATTTTAGCTATAAAATGCACAACCTTCTCCTAACACTCGTTTATTAAAGCTCCCAAACAGCAGGTTAACCGAGGTCCTCCTTCGAATAAATATTGATAACCCTCTCGCAGGAAATTCTCAAGCACACATTTTGCGATCGTAAAAGCCCCTCGCATTTGAATTATTACTAATACTTTAACAACAAACAACACTTTCACATCTGCCAGAACGTTAGCCTCACTTCTTATAGGAAACCGGAAAGATGCTGCAGCCAAGTTGTGCTGACGGGGATTTGCTTTACCAGAGTTATTCAAGTGAATGTGCTCCGAGCGACCCCGTAACACATCAAGCTCACTCGCTTTTGTAGCTAGTTTTGTTGAGCCATCTCGCTAAAATCCTTTTCAGCTGAACACAACTTACCCTAAGGGCAGAAACACAACAAAGCGCACTTCTACACAAACAAGTCTCCCCCATCTGAAAATCTGACAAATATTCAACATTTAATTGGGATTGAGATCACAAGAAGGCCAGTTACCTACTGAGAACAAAATTCAGATTTGTTCACACCAGGCTCCATTTTTTTTTGGTTTTTGGCTGCAGAGCCTGAAATCCTGTTGTTCCCTCCAAGAGTCCATCCATTCTAATTTTAAAATCCCTCATTATCACCCCCCACTACCACCACCACCACCACCACCACCACTAACACGCACACACATCTGTCACCTATCACTCTCTTCCTTTCTCTTTCACCAGGCTGTTTACCCTTAAAGCCAGCGGGTATTCCTGCCAAATCATCCCTGCTGAAATTTAATTAACAACTAACGGAAAGCCACAGAGAGACAGAGGGACAGAGAGAGAGAGAGAGAGAGATCCAGGGACATAATTCTACATTAATAGTAATCGGAGATGGTCCCTCAATGCAGAGTGACAAGCATCCTAATGCTGATAAAATGTCACCCCGTCTCTACACACACACACACACACACACACGAGCACGTACACATGCAGACAAGTATTTTCGCTCGCTGTTTACCAATTTACACTGCACCCTCTTTGACCTCACTTCCTTGTTTTTTACTGTATACTATGATTTGAATTTTAATCACCCACCCACAAATGACCACATAAAGAACTGCTTGCATACCATACACGCTAAAGTTCTTTTTTAGGAAATTCGACGATGGCTCAAGAAGGTTAACACAAAATCTGTGTTGCAAATGTAACCCGTCTCTAACATTATTTCTTGTTTATGGAGTGGAAATATGAAGTCTACGATGAGAACCGGTGTGAAGTCTCACGCTGCATCTTGTTTATTTTCGGCAAATCTAATTTACAGTGTTTAATTCACATTTGTAGGAGCGAAGGAGTGCGTCTGTTTGTATGCAATCATCTGCCACAACTTTAAAACCAGCTGCCAGATATTGTGTTTAATGCCGATTGTGCCACCAAAACAGCATCTGGTCATAGACGCAGGACGTCTTGGGGTGTGCTGTGGTGTCTAGCGCTGGGACACTGGTAGTGGAACCTTCGGATCCCGTAAGTAGCGCAGCTAGGCCTCTGTGGATTGGCTTATTCTGGCACATGCCGCAGATGCTCAATCGGATTGGGATCTGGGGAGTTTTTGTCTTTGTCGAGTTCTTCCAGCAGCTTATGAGCAGTTTTTGCGACGTGGCGGGGCATATTGTCCTGCTGAGGGGAGGGGAGACCACTGCCAATGAGGAGGGCCTTTGTCATGAGGGAGGAGCACTTAGTCTGAAACAATGTTTAGGTGGCTGGTACGTCCTGAAGTAGCATCCACAAGAACGCAAGGAGTTTCCAAGCAGAATGTTACCGTAAGATGTTACTCAATTCAGCTGTCAGTGGCTAATCAGTGCATGTACCTACAATTTTATAAACATTATCAAGTCAGGGCTGCAGGGTGGCGCAGTGGATAGCACTGTTGCCTCGCAGCAAGAAGGTTGCCGGTTCGCGTCCCGGTGGGGGCACCGGAATCTTTCTGCGTGGAGTTTGCATGTTCTCCCCGTGCAGCGTGGGCTCTCTCCAGGTTCTCCGGCTTCCTCCCACAAGGTCCAAAAACATGTTGAGGTTAATTGGTGATTGTAAATTGTCCGTAGGTGTGAATGTGAGTGTGCTTGGTTGTCTGTCTCTAAGTGTAGCCCTGTGATAGACTGGTGACCCTAAGTCGGCTGGGATAGACTCCAGCCCCCCAACGACCCTAATGAGGATTAAGCGGTGTACAGATAATGGATGGATGGAAGGATTATCAAGTCAGTGAATTTAAAGCTAAATCCTGTTTGTCATAAATTTGGCAAATGCAATTTCTTACAGGAAAAGACATAAATGAAGGACATCTGCTGACTGATTGGTACCAACTCCCTGCCTGTTCTTGTCTTTTCCAGGACGCCATCAAGTGAGTGCAGACATGTGCGGAGAGGAAGAAATTACAACACAGACAGCAGAGACTGAAATATGGCTCCATCCTAACAGGAAGACAAACATAAGGGAGTGCCTGTTGTGGTTGGAGTCGCAGTGACGGGTGAGACGGAGACATAGCGAAGGGGAAGACAGTAGACGTGGAGACTGGGATGGAGTGGAGAGGATGCTGATAAACAGGAAATATGATTGACCTGAATGCGTGGATGGTGAGGGAGGAGGATAGAAGAATGAGAAGCAGAATGAGAGTGACAGAGAGAGAGACTCCTTGATGGAAGAGAGTGGTCTCTGGTAGAGACAGATTAATCCAAACATCACAGACTGACAGTAGTAGGCCGAGGAAAGAAAGAAAATAATCCCGGCATCAAAGCCTCAAACTGGATGGGACAGGTATAGTTATTTCCACGGACGCTTGGACACATCTGTTGTTCTGTATTGATCTTCGTATCTGTCCGTCTACCTATTTACTTTCATACTCTATCCATCACTGGGCATTGTTCGTAATGCCAAAATTTAGGGGAAACAGAATTTGTAGTGCTCTTTTTGAGAGAGGCACTCGCTGTCAAGTTCCTCCTTAACTGCGAGTGTCCGACAAGCCTGAGTATTCTTCAGACACAGTTTAAGCCAACATCAGTCATGGGGAGATTGCCTTGCTGCACTGACCTTCTAATCTTCACGAAGCAATGAGGTGGTTACTCGGGATAAAATATATGAACTCCTGAATGACAAACTCCCTATCTCACGGCCATCACACACCGATTCAAAGGTGGAGTGAAAAGCGAGTTTTTATTGTCAATGCTGGTGGTTCTACTTGTACTTTTTGGAGGACGTCTCAAGTCTGCATTCTAAAAAAAATGGTTTAAAATGATGTTGTTGTATATTTCACTTATTACAGATAAAAATACATGTTACATAGACAGTCCAGCACTTTTACTACACGATCACATGCACTACGGTGGCCCAGAAGTGTCACAACAAAACAACACAACACAAGAAGCCACAACGCTACAAAATTAACCACAACACTACAAAATTATCTCCAGCTTCTGCCTACTTCATGTGGCGTTGTGCACTTCACAGTATAACTTCCGGGTTAAAAAACACAACTTCCGTTGCAGCTGTTGTGTTGTGTTGCAGCTAATTTTGTAGAGTTGTGGCTTGTTGTGTTGTGGCTTTTGTTTTGTTGTGTTGCGGCTAATTTTGTAGTGTTGTGGTTAATTTTGTAGTGTTGTGGCTTTTGTTTTGTAGTGTTGTGGTTAATTTTGTAGCGCTGTGGCTTATTGTGTTGTGTTGTGGCTTATTTTGTAGTGTTGCAGTTAATTTTGTAGTGTTGTGGCTTATTGTGTTGTGATGTGGCTTTTGTTTTGTTGTGTTGCTGCTTATTTTGTAGTGTTGTGGTTAATTTGGTTGTGTTGCGACTAATTTTGTAGCGTTGCCGCGTATTGTGTTGTGTTGTGGCTTTTGTTTTGTTGTGTTGCAGCTAATTTTGTAGTGTTGCGGCTAATTTTATAGTGTTATGGTTAATTTTGTAGCGTTGTGGCTTATTGTGTTGTGTCTTTTGTTTTGTTGTGACACTTCCGGGCCACCGTACATGCACAGTTTCCGTACGGTTCATTACCTGATCTGGCTGTTTTTATGTTGACCGACTGGAAGCCTCCGTTCAGCGCCGAGGTGTCGATGATGTCCGAGTCGAAGTCGCGGTGCGTCTTGCGATACACGAAGAGGGCCACGATGACGGAGATGAACAGGCACATAATGACGGCGATGACAATGCCCACGTACAGAGCCACGTCGTCTGTGCTCGGGGCAGCTAAAGGGAACACAAAGAGAGACACGGTGTTAAGATATTTCTACAGGAAGCACGAAGCAAAAAGCCAAGTGCACTTAAGGTGTATCAGAAATAAAAGCGCCATGAAACAGTTTCCAGAATGATAACTCTTACAGAACAGCAGGGCAGTGGCAGCGAATGAAGCAACATTTTTATGGCTCCAACATTCAGACTCAAAAGACAATTTCTATAGGTTCCATTTCAAATGAAACTTTCAAACAGCCCTCCAGCTTGTGTAATATGATAATTTGTCTAGACAGAGATACAGAGAGAGACGGAGACACCTTTCATAAAAAAAAAAAAAAGAAGAGCGGTAGCTACTCTTAAAACTTAATAAGGCTGTTAATTATTTTACAGGGGTCCTAACATCCTTTTTTCAATTCGGCTCAGAACTTTAACGGCGTTTCAGCGAGAACAACGGCGGAATTGTCATTCACGATGCATATTTTAAAGCAGAAGAAGGGACTAAAATTTTAACTGATGGGTGATGGCGGACGGCGAAAGGTACGAGCCACACTTAAGGATGAAGAAGAAGAGAAGAAATGAGAAGAGGATGAAAGGAGACGAGCTGAGAGCGCTGGGGAATGGAGATGAGGAAGTAATAGGAAGGGGGAAGCCAATCGGTGGAGAGGAGCGAAAAGGAAAGAATGGCGAGGATACAAAGAGATGGCAGATATGTTGAGAGGAAAGGTAGGGATAGGACATTGTAATATATAAAGAAGCAGGGAAGATGATCGGAAACAAGAAGAGCACAATAAATGGTAGAAGAAGAGAGAGTAGAGGAGGAAAAAGGAAAGAGGTGATAACGGCAGAGGAGAAGGATCCGGGGCACGAGAAGCAGAACTACACTTGAACTTCAAAGCAGCAAAACAAACATATTGAACATGAAAGTCCCTGTGAAACTTTGGGAAGCAGTCTCTCACTTAAAGCGCTGCTCATATAATCATGTTCACTGCAGCTAGTAGGAGGGGGATTTGTCTGAAGCTATTAGGAAGAAGACAGAAAAGTGTAGGAATCCTCCTTTTTAATCCGCCCTTAAAAGTTTAGGGGCAGATAACAGGCTTTTAGCGACAAACAGCCTGAGTCATTTGCTAAAGGATTTGCTGTTGTCGCATAAGAACGAGTTCCGAAAAGCACGAACTCGATTATGCACGAGAAGAAGAATCCTTTGATGAGGGCGCGCAAACGCTCACATGTGCCTTAGCATGATGCACACATTTACAGGAGGGAGGTCAACGGTGATGATGTTAGTTACTCATTTGCCACATGAGGGAGCTGTGAACCACTTCTAGCGTCTCTGGGGAGCCGAACACGAGGGTCACGCTTTGCCCTCATATTCTCAACCGCTCCTCAGAGACAAGAACAATGAGGAACAAAAACCTCTGGGCACTTTGTTCTATGAATAGGAAATCATTCAAAATATTACAATTTTGTCCAAACCATGTGAAGGAGTTTTCTGTAAAAGGGCCACGAGTATTTAAAGTTTTAAAACTGAGTGCATGATAAAGACACAAAAACTGATTAGCAACTTTATTCACTACATTACAGCTATTCACATGGTGTACATGTAATTGAGGTTTACACCGAACGGATCAATAAAGTTTTATTCTATTTTAATTTTTCTATTCTATTCTATTCTATTCTATTCTATTCTATTCTATTCTATTCTATTCTAATTAAGTGCATGTAAAGCCCAGAAGATGTGGTCTGTGCTGCTTATATGTAACTGTTCAAAATGCATTTCTATGTAAAATCCATTTTTAAAACCAAGTCCTATCCTGACACTCAACTAGAGGTAAAATGATGTGTCGATTAACCCTCTGGACCCCAAGCAGTTCCTTTACAGTTTTTGTTCCTGTCGTATTTTTTCTCACTTTAGGCTCATCTGTCACTGCAAAAAGAAAAACTCCTGCACCTTTATAGAAACAGCCCGGCCGTGGCTAGATGTAGAGACAACTCCAACATGTCTCCTGGGTAGTATAACAAAGATATAATGCCATAAACTACTTTTTTAAAAAGAGGAGAAATTATTTCTTTTATTATTTATTGTACAAAAAACGAAACCCCACAGGTGTTACCAATACTGGAGGAAATGTGGGGCTCTAAATGCTATAAATATTTTGCTACTTACATTTAAATCCATACTGTCTCCTATTGGTGCTGCATAAGCACAGCCTGCAGTTTGGTTCAGGTTTTTTAAAATTTTAGTCAAGACTGTTACTTGCAGCTGAGTCATTAATGACTTCACAGCTGCACCATGTAACACTTTTTGTTTCTTCCTACCAAATCTGGTTAGAGCAAATGCTGTTGGTCAATTTTTAATTTGATGTTATTTGAAATAAATATCACAGTTCCAAGCCTTGATTTGGTCATGTTTTCCCACAGATGGCCACGTCCAAGGTGAGTGATTCAAGGACCATGGGAAGGTGAATCTGGTAATTAGCTTTATTTTTTAAATTTTCCAGCTATGATAAATGGCTGAAAATAACATTTAAACCAGCCTGCAAATTTTGGGGTGCAGAGGGTTGAGTGACAAGTAAATCACCAGAAAATAATCCGCAATATTTCTATAACTAATTAATATCCTGCATAATACCCACACATTGACTGATTCTAGCTTTTCAAATGCAAAGATCTTCTGTGTTTTGTTGTCTTACATATTACTGCAAGATGTGAAGGTGTCCCTTTCTGTTCTGGTAAACTGTGACGGGCACGTTTTCACTTTTTGAGAGAAAGTATAGCTCATCTATTAATAGAGACAATGTCTCAAAGATGAATCAATAATCATAATACTTGTTTGTTTCAGTGCTAATCTAAACCAGAGTTGTTTTACCTGCTGAATAAGAATCTCTAGATTAATCTTAAAAGTGTGAAAGTATCACGTCTGGTGTAAAACACAAACTGTGGCGGAGGGGAAATTAAACATTCATGTAGTTCATGTTCATCACCTCCAATCCGTGTTAAACAACACAATTAATGCCACTGTGAGCATAACAGCAGCTCCCAAACATCTGCTTATAGGTTTAACTCACACTTTGAGCAACACCTTTAAATCTTGAAAGTTTAACCCTGTTGGGTTTTGTCTTTCCCTCCGACGCCATTTGTTGCAAATTCCCTGATTCCCCAACGACACAGCTGCACAAAGTTGCTCCGTTATCAAGGTCCTTGCGTTTTCCAAGGGGGAACAGAATTGGATAATCCTCTTAAGTACCGACTCCCTGATCTTAATTATGATCATCATCATCATCCTCATCTATTTAGGGAATCTTTATCTCGTTTTCTACTTTCACTTGAAGGTCTGTAACTTCACAGCACGTCAGGCTGCCACGAGAAGCATCACTTTTAAACTTCCTCGTCCTTATTCTATTGTTTTGTCGGAGTGTTTTGGGACACTTTGGGTAAGCTAACTAGGCTAGAGCCCGCTGTGTTCTCCAAATCTGCGAGTGTGTCTGCACCGACTTATACCAGTGGGTTTAAAAAGCCTTTTTTTCGCTGTCTACCGGTTTATATCCCATCCCTCTTAGATCTCCGTCTATAACTCACACCTCTCTCTCAGACTCCCTCTGTCGCCATCTGTTTGATTTGTAGATGAATGAAACAACACGTCCCATCAGAGCTCCTACCTGTCTGAGTAACCTACATACAACTGCTGGAAACCAAATGTCTCCTTTTTTTCTTAAAATTCTCACTTTTTTCCCTTTGTATTTTTTGTTTTTATCTGTCCTAAATTCCTCCTTTTGCTTCCATCTTATACGTAAACATCACAACACGCCACATGCATTTACAATCGCTGCTCAGGACAAATACAATATCGCACAAGAATATTTGTTTATTGATATTCGGCTGCGGCGCGTGTCTCTGCTACAACAAACAGAATCAATTCAGTGTTAGGAATAATGAAAATCTACAAAACAATCTGACATATCGCTCAAGTTTCTATCAATTATTATTACTTTTTAAATGTACCTTCTTTCTTTTTTCATTTCAGTTTTTAAAATGTTCTCCAGCAACATTTTACTGCTTCATAAGAGCCACAGTTTTAGAAAAAAGAATTACACTAATGTACAGTAGCTTTTGTTAGACATTCAAGTCTGCTCCGCGCTCTGTATGCGTCGACTTTCTTTAGTCTTTCATAAAACACAAAGTGCTGCTTCCATTGAAGACTGCCTATTCCTTAATTCTGATGTTCTTTCACTGTCTGACAGCCTTGCATAATAGGCTGTCTTTTTCTGACAAGATGGAGACTGAAAAGGGACCGAACGTGGGTGTGCACTTTTGACCAAAGCCAAATGAATGAATAATGTGTTTAGACCTCTGTGTGTATTTAAGTGAAGACAGAATGACAAAATCAGCAGTGATGGATGAGGAAGGAGAGCAGTTTGACTAAGTACAGTATTTTTATGAGCGCACATGCAGGTACTGACACACACACTGAACGCACATAAACACACACACATGTTACCTTTTATACACGACTACCTCCTGAGCTTTTCCACTCTTGTTCTGACAAGCAGTTTCATGTTCGAAGCGCTCGCCAGCAAGATATAAAATGAACTGGATTGATAATGAAAATGTGTACTTTTCAGAGGATGCAGCAGAAAGGGAATGAATAAAGAATAACCACCTGGGAAGACAGAGAGACATCCCATCTGTGATGTTCCAGCAAGTGCTACCTGACAGCTCTCTATAGGAGGGAGAATGTTCTGTACTGGAGGTCAGGACGCACACACACCAACATAAATGCAAAGGTGTGAACAAATGCAGAAGATAAAAACACACCAAAAAATTACAGCGAAGACAGTGGTGTGTGTGTTTGTGTGTAGGTGTGTGTGTGTGTGTGCTTGCATTGCTCAGGTTGTGGGGACACAGTGCTTATAAAATGCATTCCACCTCCCTTGGTTGTTTTTATTGCTTTTCAACATTTATCAATTAGGCTGCTTTGACAAGAATGTACAAAGAAAAAAAAAAAAAAAGACATCAAA